GGAGAAAACTTATGCAAGCACGAGGAGAACAAGCAAACTCTGCACAGAAAGACCCCAGGTCCAAACTGGGAATCGAACTCGGGACCTTCTTGCTGTGAGGCATTGGTGTTAACCACTGAGCTGGCTGCAGTTTAATATCGGGGGAGGGTGTGTTTATGCATAAATTAAATTGAGATTAGAAAAGGAGTTAAGCTGGTATTAGTGTGTATTCTACATGAGGGGTTTAAAACGAACAGCTGCTCTTTACCTGAAGCTCACAACTCTTTAAATACTGACATTTATTTATTTATTTAGTAACCTTTGTTTAACCTTGAAAATCCCACTGAGACCACAGTGCCTGAAGGCAACCTAACACGCATGTTTTTAAAAGCTGGATTTGAGAGAGATTTGGTCTGATGGAGTGTTTACTGAGCTGTGGAGGGTTCTGGTTAGCAGCAGCCAAACAGTGAGCAGAGAGAATCCTGAGCCGACAGCAGAGATGTGCTGAGCGAGCTCTGACGAGGACACCAGAGATCTTTAGAGGAAGTCGTGACTGCGTGTTTGTTATCTCACCTTGGGATCATAGTCTGGGTCGTTTTCCTCATCAGCCTCCTCTTCACCTTCCTAATAAAAACACAGCTTCAGTCTCAAAATRCATCAGTTTTAAAAATAAATAAATGAAGTTTGTTTTACCTCATCATCTGCTTCTTCTCCCTCTTCATCATACTGCAACACATTTTAAAATAGATATATTAATGAATAAATTAATGAACCCAGAAATAAACAAGTTTTAAAAAGTGACAACAGCAAGCCATCCTCACATCRTCGTCGTCATCCTCTATGGCCTCCCCTGTGAAGTACAGCACAGCTCGGGGGACGATGCGCTCACGGATGAAGTGGCCAATTTCAAAATCTGCAGCTAGGACCGCCTCAGAGTCTTCTTCCTGAAACCAAACCAGTCGCCACAGTTAGATTCACAGAGCACTTTCAGCCGTGTCGCATAACAGCTGCTGGTAATTATGGGATGGTGTGGAATAACAGCAGGCTGATGGGATTTAATATGAAGAGGGGAGTGTTTATATACTACCCACTCTTTAGAAAGCACAAACATAGCATCACTTCRGTTTGTTCCTGCTTTTATTATTCTTCTGAACCAAAGTAGTGACAGTTCAAATGAAGGCTTTCTCCTTATTGAAACACTAAAATAGTTGAGGCAAGCAGTGGGGCAGAGAAATTACATTTTTACGTTAGTCTTTGATTTAAGATGTGTCTGGAGGGATTGCTTTTTTTTAACAATTTAAAAAGTGTGTGCCTAATTCCAGTGGATATTTACATAAAATATATACAGTATTTCTCCATATCAGAGTGTTAAATAAAGCAACAACAGGAAACAGGAAATTGTGGATAAAAGAGGAAAGGTCACATTTTAATCAGCCCGTTTTTTCCTGCTCCTTATTTTAAATTGATAAACAAAAAAAAAGATCAATTATCGATACTGACTCATCTGAATTGCTTATATCCTGACACTACTGGTGCAACGATACAGAAAATTCAGTATTTGGTTTGATACTTTAGTATATTCGATATAAATAAGAAATTTCCATGCCATTAACTTGTAATTTACTGATATTAAATATGAACATTTAAGTACAGTTTTTTTTAATTAAATGATGCTGAAACAGTGAGTTTCTCAGTGGCTCTGTGCTCGACAATGCAACCAAGGTGGAGTAAAACAAAGATCCACTGACCCTTCAACTACAGAGCAACTTCAGAAGACAAGTTGATAAATTTAAAAATATGTAGTTTAATAGTGTACATTGAACCTAAATCACTGTATTGAAGGGTTTGAAACAGATACATGTATTGTTGCACCCCTACCTGATACATTGTTCAGCCATATCGCCCAGCCCTAAATGCTAACTGCGCTAAATGTGAAAACAGGTACCAACACACAAACACACACACACTTTTTTCCCCTCTTAATTAATGACATTCCAGTCAGTAGTGGTAAACTCGATTGACAATAAGTCTGCATCAGTCCTAATCCAGCACTAAATATCTGCAAAGCTCAACATAAAAAAACAGCTTTAAAAAGGTGAAACAGACTTACCAGCTCCCCGCTTTCTGGAACTGTAAACATAAAGAGAATAATAAATAAATAAACAAATAAATAAATAATGTCAGGTTTTACAAATCAAGTACATAAATACATGCAGTGCCCAGCCAAAAAAAATACTTTATTGGACGGCTTTTAGCTTTGATTATGGCACACATTCACTGTGGTGTTGTTTGGATAAGCTTCAATCAGCTTCTTTCCACAAGCCATAAGACTCATCAACACAATGAAGAAAACCAAATGAACTTTTGAAGGATAATGAAAAACATTTTCATAATAATTTTTTTCTCAGCATCACTTATGCTTTAATCATTGCACCTTGCATGACATCAAAACTACTTCACATTATCTGTATTATGTTTACAATGTTAAACATTGTAATGTCACTTTATCTGTACAATACATTACCTCACATTATCTGTATGCCGATTGTACCTGTGCTGCTATGTGTGTGAATGGTTGTGTAGTGTCCATCAGTACTGTATTTTTATTACACAGGGTATTGCAGTGTGTGTGTGTTTTATCAATGTCTATATTTGTGCATTGGTGTGTGTTGTGAGTGACCATGTCAGAGTGAGAATGTAAACTCATGTATCAATGTTAGTTTCTTACAGCACATTGTGTGTGTGTGTGTGTGTGTGGGTAATGTCAATGTCTTATCAATCTGTTAATATGTTTAACTGCACATTGGAGATTGGTGAAATGCAATTTTAACTTCTGTGCTAACCCTGTTACGTAGATTTTGACAAAGTAAAATTGAACTTGAACAAAGTCACAAGTTTTATTTCCATCCAGTGCTGCATTAATTTTTCACCAAGATCTTGCATTGATGATGGTAGAGTCTGACCTTCTCCAGCACATCCCAAAGATTCCCAATGGACTCTGAAGTCAATCCATGTGTGAAAATGATGTCTCATGCTCCCTAAACCACTCTCACAATAAGAGCCCCATGAATCCTGGCACTGTCATCTTGGAATAGGGCCGTGCCATCAGGGAAGAAACAATCCATTGATGGAATAACCTGGTCATTCAGTATATTCAGGTGGTCCACTGACCTCATTCTTTGAGCACAAACCGTTGCTGAACCTAGACCTGACCACCTGCAGCAACCCCACATCATACCACTGCCTCCCTTCTTACCCCGATGCACCCATCACTCTGGAACAGGGTACATCTGGACTCAGACCACATGACCTTCTTCCATTGCTCCAGAGTCCAATCTTTATGCTCCCTAGCAAAATGAAGCCTTTTTATTCCGGTTAACCAATGATTTGACCCTTCTCCAACAGACTGACATCTTTTCCACAAACACTGGATGTCTCTTTCGACATGGTTGTATAATAAATGAGAAGCAACTCATTGCAGCAKTTAGGGTTAAATAACTTGTTGCCAGTTTGTTAAATCCAGGTCGTGTCTTTTTTTTTTTTTGGCCAGGCAGTGTATTATCTCATACTGATTCCAGAGGAGCCTTACCTTCTGGTGGGGTAAAGAAGTTAAAGAAGGAGTCGTTGGGGATGGTTTTGGTGACCGTCCTCACRGTGCCACGGCCCTTGTGCTTCTGTTTTTTCTTGATAGTTTTCAACGTGACGTTCTTTCCTTTTGTCCAGTCAATTGTGCATCTGATTAACAGCAGCAGGAAGAAAAGTCAGCAAACCACACAACCTTTCAGATTCAACAAAAGCCTGGCTGAGGAGCTTGATTCAGAGAATGAATAAAGAAGGGGAAGTGACCAACTAAATCCTTAAAGGAGTCCATCAGGTCTGGCCTCACCCTGTGCAGCTCATGATCTCTGGTCCATCAAAGGAAAACGGGTCGTTCTCATCAGGTTCTGACCTCATCTTGTAAGTTTTTGTTAACAYTGTATTTGTAAAGAACTCATTGGGCTCAAAGTAGAACTCTAATGTGAAGCTCTGTGGAAAGAAAAGAGAAAGAAATTAGAACATACCARTCTGAGCCGGCTGAAAAGAAAAGATTCGTTAGACTCACCATGGGCTGGCCTGGATCTGAGAATTTGACTTTAATATCTTGTAAATGTTTAAGTATGGGTTCATCGTGTTCCTGGGGAGAAAAAAAATGTGGGTTTAGAAACGTCCGTGCAGACGTCTGCCAGCAGGTGGAGGCAGATCAGGATTGGTGTGTGTGACCCATTTTCCCTTTTCTTCCAGAGTCTGAATTAAACGCACCTGCAGCATATCACTGAGCAGGTCCACATTCTTGAAAACTGTTAACCAGAACTCTGGGATGCCTTTAGGGTCTTCTTTCTCCTCGTCTTTCTTCTCCTCCTCCAACTTGGCCTTTTCCTTCATCTCATCCTGGKTGAGACAAACATTTATTATTCATTAAGTGATTTCATGAGAGCCGATCAGAAAAAGCTTGAATCTTATGTTTGGCAGCATGCAGTAATGGCAGCACAGAAATGATAAACTGAACCATGGTTTCCTTAACGTCAGACATCAGACAGGAAGCATGCAGGTGTGTAGATGTCACCTGTACCTGCTTACTTACTGTCAGCTCTTCCTCCTCATCAGCCTTCCACTCACACTCCTCATCTGTGGGCTCGTAGGCTGATGTCACTATTTCACTTCTCTGAAAGGAAACCAGAAAAAAAAGGAAGTTGGTACATGTGTTTATGGACAAATGATGGTAAAACAAATCCTGAATAAAAACAAAGCCAAAACCTGAGGGGCTGTAATTCAATGGACATGTCTGCTGCTAGATCAAAACAGCTAAAATTTACTCTTTAATGTTTCCGTATTACTGGTTAAAGCACGTCTAAGGTTAGAATCTACTTTGATGCATTGCATCAGCAGAGATGAAAAATTCTGGACTGAATTATCAAAAGTCGACTTTAATCTGTGATGCTTCTTTAGAGTCAGCTGCTGCACAGCTCTGTTTGACCTAGTGGAGTTGCCRTAGATCCTGTAGCAGAAACAGTGTAGTTGTGTTTTCACTTTGTTTCTTTACTTAAAATCACTAATTACATACAGTAATAAGTTAAGATAGGATTTAAAAAGTATGATGTTTTTTGAAACATCTGAAGTGTACAGAATTGAGTGACACAATGCTAACAGATGTAGCTTTTCTGTGATATTAACTACAGTAGGTTTATTTAGCAGGTCAACAGGTCAGTCTATAGCCTACAAACTACACTGATTTAAAAGATTTTTGGTCAATGTGCATTCATGAAAGAAAAATATGTACGTTACATACTTCATGAATTACCTAGTAAGAAATATATTTTTTAAAGCCTGGTTTATACATCAGTACGGCATGAGACAGTGAATAGGTCATATGTGGGAATAAATTATTGTAATTTCTCCYAGTGTAGCACAGTGCACAGCTAAACAAACAGTGATCACAGGATATAGTTTTTTCACTCAATGATGAATCAATGTTGGATGAAGTGTCCAAAGGGTCAAAACTCTTCTCTTTAACGGCGGAGCTGCAAATGTGGTGAGAACATCAGTTGAAGGTTCACGTGATCAACAGGACTGAACCAGCTGCTTCTCAAAGCTGTGCCTCACTATCAGTGAAGGATGCACTGCTTTGCACTGCATGAACAAACACRCCCACAAAGTYCTGACCAATMAMTGCGAGCCGCAASGTCTGCAGGACAGAGTCCTGACTAGGGGACAATGCACACGGTGGGGGTAAACAGAAGTTGCACAATTTTTCTTGGTCACTGAATAGTGTGAGCAAGGCGTGCAACTTGATGAAAAATACGTTATTTGTTTCTGTGGGGAGATTGATTAGTGGTAGAAAAAGCAAAACTAAGAGCCAAGCTCCTTTTGACCACCTAAAGCAACAACATGATATAAAAACAGATCGTAAATATATCCAGGCATTCCCTCATTTGCACTGCATGAATATCACATATTTAGGAACATGGAAGAAATAAAAACATTCATTTGTTCTTAGCTGGTTTATATTTGAAGTATAAACCAGCCTTAAGTGACCAATATCAGCCAAATAAACCCAGCTGCCTGATTAAATGCTTTCACTCTCGTTAGGATTTATTCTAATTACTTGTCAGCAGCCTGTGCTTGATAGTGRCTTTTGCATTATGCAAGAAAATACACCAATCAGTGATTATGTAAAGTAAGACACACATTTGAATTTGGATTTCTGTCTCTAATTTAGCTTCAGTATTTTAGGTAAACATAAGATGACCAGCTGCTTCCTGGTGTTTAATAAACTTGAGATTAGAACAAAACAGAAATGATTGTTTTATGAATTGCATCTGCACAGTAACKGAGTCAAACTACAGGATGCCTGTTAATCCTATTAAACACGTATAATGACAGTCAAGTGTTAATGCCATAAAACAGTCACTGTATACAAAGAAATGTGTACGTTTAACCACGTTTCATGCTGGCTTTAGAAAAGATGCATCAATAATAAATAAAAAGACTCACTTTGTCAAAAAGGGGCTGGTAGAGGGCTGCATACTTTCTCTCCAGTTCATGGACTTCTTCATAAAATTTGGCCTCGATGTGCGCACATTTAACCTGCAGGTTTTTGAGGGCRTTTACACGTCTCTTGACAACCTTTGGTAAACTGTGAAAATACAAAACATAAAMCAGGAAGATGTTAGGACAACCACAGAAAACACCTGGCAAACTTAAATGCAGGTCWGTATTCCCCTAAGAGTGTGTACTTTATACGAGACTGTGACTGTAAACAGCTCACACGCAGAGCCACTGTTTTATTTACTGTCAAGTTCAAAGGCCTTTTGTGTGAGACCACCAAACAACAGGTGTATGGCCTGAAGAACAGACTGACAGTTTTAGATATGCTCATTAACACCAWCTTTATTGTACAACTGAAGACCAAACTCTTCTTTATAAAAAACCTTATTTAAGATCCATGTCTGCAAGAGCTGTAAACAAGTCTGTTGCAGTGAAGAAAGTTAAAATGCTAAAACTGTTCTAACAAGAAAGTGTGTCTGGTCTCAAGTGCAAGGATGTAACTGGTGAGTTTGTTAGTGACTGCCAAACACTTTATCAAAGAGCCACTTGCTGATGGTTTGGCTAAAAAGAGAAGCAGTGGGTGGCACAGCTCTGCAGTCGAGATTTTTTTTATTACAGCATCTCTGCATCCTTTACAACAAACAAATCTCTGCTTCAAGACATTCACAGCTAGTAAATTCAGTTTATTAAAGGTTTTATACACAATCTACTCATCTGCTGTAGAAATCATGTCACATGAGAGCTGTTCAGATAATTTGTTCATTTTGTTCTTGCAGTCAAAAAGCAGTAAATTTAGATCTGGCACTCACTGAAAAAATTGTCTCWGACCAGGTTTGGAGGTGGAGGAACTGTTTGTTGCTCACAGACAGGCTTCTGTGTCTGCGTGCAGCGTCGGTAAATTTCATTTGATGGTAAAAGCACTTTAGAGTACACATTTAAACATTAAAATAATAGATGGGCAAAATGTTTACTAAGAAACATCCAGCTTTTCATGTGACGGGATCACAACATTTAAGATGTGTGAAGTTTAATTTAAAAATGTTGACTCTCCAACATTAAAAACAACATTCTGTCCTAATCCAGTAATTTAACCTGGTCAGCCACAAGTGATTTTTTTWTACATTGCGCTTGAAAATGTGCCAAAATGTAACCAWGTGCGTCTCAGCATTTACAAACTCTACTTAAATAAACTTGGTATTGAAATACAAGTTATATAAATTGGGGAGATGTCAAGAGAAGTGTAAGCATCACAGCAGCTGCTATTGTTTCAGAGATGGTGAGAATGTAACAGAAAAAAATAAATTAAATAAAAATATTTTCCCTTCGCCTGAAGTTTTTTTCAATAATAGTATAAAATCCATTCAAAAATATAATGAAGGCTAAAAACCATTTCAAATCATAAACTCACAAGTGGACATTACCTGTGCAAAGATTCATGCTGCTAAAGAAAACTAAAGTTCCAGAGGTTTTAGATAAAAACTCAGCGTTCCAGTCATTCTGCACAGGATGGACCGTTAAAAGTACACCTGGACATGCCTCAGTCCATCACAGGGACNGTACACCTGGACATGCCTCAGTCCATCACAGGGACACCTGGACATGCCTCAGTCCATCACAGGGACACCTGGACATGTCTCAGTCCATCACAGGGACACCTGGACATGTCTCAGTCCATCACAGAGACACCTGGACATGTCTCAGTCCATCACAGAGACACCTGGACATGTCTCAGTCCATCACAGGGACACAGACCAATAGACAAACTGTCCACACACCCGTCACACTGAAGAGCTCGAACACGATCACAGTTAAGTGTTGTATAGTTTGAAGTCTTTACTTTGACACAAATTGGAACAGGTTCTTAGAGAAGGCTAATCTTTCTCACTACTGATTTAAATTGGTCATGTGACTCGAATGTGCCAGGGTTTAATCATAATTTTCGCAATTGATTGTGATTAACTTTTGTCAATACCACCCAACCCTAAAATACATTGTGTTAAAATTAACCTTGGTTTTATGCGTTTGGTTGCAATTCAACTTTCACTCATTTTTTGTTTTGAACTGACTGCTGTAGAACTGTGCAACAGGACGGTTGTGAAGTTTGGCCTTTTTTTTTATCCCAGGATGTAAAAATAAAACCATATTCATGATTCTGATTGTAATTTTGCTCACATCATCCAACCTTACTCGAGYTGTTCTTTTACAGAAATGTTTGCTTGTGTTTGTGAAAAACAAAAATACATGAATTTATGATGTGCATACACACAAACACTTATTGCCATAAACAGAACAGGGATTCATTTTTTTTCATGCAGGAATGTAGCCTCATCAGGCTACAAGCTGAACAACAAAATCCCCCCACACTAAGCTGCTGGGCCCAGTGATTACTCACCTCTCCATGTACCCTGATGGTGAGCCGTTCAGACCATCCAGCCTCTCCTGTAATGCAGCCAGGATCTGTGGATTCTGCATCATCTGCACAGTGAGCTGACGAGCTGAGGACAAGCAAGGCCAAGGTTTCATATGAATAAAAGCATGTGAACTATAAAGCTCCAAACATTGTATTTACYAGATCAGAGATTCTTAACCCATGGGCCGCGGCCCAATTGTGGGCCGTGAGYGCCACCTTGAGGGCCTCAAAAGAACAAGTTCTTAACTTTGGGCCGCAGAGGGCCGTGGGGCCGCA